CCACGATTACCACTCCATTTGAACACCCTTACCTGTTGCAGTGCTCACCTCCTAATCTGAAATTGTTTTCTCGTGTTTCGTTGCACGAATACTTCATTTTTTCTTTTGAGGAAATTTTTCTTCGAGGTCGTCTGGAAATTGGGATTTTTAGGGGTTGTTAGCCACTACACGTAATCATAACAATTCGCTGTTTTTTTTAATTATTTTAAAATGATGCAGAATGCTTGTATTTAAACAACAGATGGGACCACTAGAATCATTTATTATGAATGATTGTCTATCTCAACTTTTAGCAGAGATTGTGTTTGAGAGATTGTTAGCTTACTTTTTTTTCCTTATTCTTTGAGGGACCACCAAAATCATTCAATCTCCAAACAATGTATTTTTAATATACATTGAAACAATGCATCTAATTATAATACATACATTGGTTAAATACATCAATTTTGGGAATCCTAACTTCCAAATATGCCCTTAGATGACGTATTTAGTCAATACATAAATTTGAGTAGAAGATGAGACCACTAGAATCATTATGGATGATTGTCAATCTCAACTTTCAGCTGAGATTGTCAATCACTCATTTGTTCTTCCTATTTTTTTTAGACTACCAAAATCATTCAACCTCCTAACAATGTGTTTTTCGAATTCATACATTGATACAATCAATGTAGTCAAAATCACGCTTTAAAACTTAAAAACTTACAATTTTACGTTTCTAGGTCATTAAAACTTTTCTACACAAAATCTCAGTTTTTATAACTTATGTAGTTAAAATCTCCGTTTTAAAACTTAAAAACTTACAATTTTACGCTTCTAGATCACCAAAACATTTCTATGTAGAAACTCGCTTTTGACTACATTGGATACAATACATTTAATTAGAATACATAAATTGATTAAATACATCAATTTAGGGGCCATTTTGTAGTTGCGATTGTTTTAGTGAGATTGTTACTATACATACATTGTTTAGAATGCATCGGTTTTTTTTTAGCAGAAACAATGCATGGATTGTTTATGTGATTGACATAAACTATCACTCAAATGAGTGATTGTTATATCTAAGCTTTTAGTTGTGATTGTTGAGATAATTGAGTTGAGATGGTTTTGTCTCAGCTTTTAGCTGATGTGACATACACAATCACACATACCAAATGTTGTATTTTACAATGCATCAAATTCAACAATACATGTATACTATTATACATGCATTCATTACAATACATCTAATTAACAATCGCAACTTCCAAACGACCCCTTAGAGAATCCTAACTACCAAACATGATTTTCGTCTTTGTATTGCCTACCTTGGACAATCTACATAAGTGCGTGGAAGTTTTTGTGAACTCATTTCCCTATTAATCATTAAGTAAATAGTTTTTGTGAACTCATTTCCCTATTAATCATTAAGTAAATCCAAGAGCGGGACTTCTTGGGTAATGTTCTTGCTGTAAACCTTATTGCGAAATGATATAAGTTAATCCCGTGGTTTAGACTGTGAGGCTTGTTGTAGAAGCAAATAAAATATTACTGGGTTGAGATTTTAAAAGGTTGGTTTACTGCAGCGCAGAAGATACTCTTGTAAGAACAAAAAAGAAAAGCCCCTTTAGTTTGACCTCTTATGTTTTTATATTTAACACCGATGATGGATTGTTCATGCACAGGTGATATGTTCACTGAAGAGCAGAATGAGTTGGTGGAGTCAGCAGCAGAGATGCTGTATGGACTAATTCATGTGCGTTATATACTCACTAGCAAGGGCATGGCTGCAATGGTATAGGCTTTGTGCTGAGATGCTTTCCTCTGCTTTTCTTCAGTTTTCTTTTTCACCTGGGTTTGGGTATAAGTTTGGCTGTCTGCAAAAACATGTACAGTTGGAGAAGTACAAGAACTACGACTTTGGGAGATGCCCAAGAGTCTACTGCTGTGGACAGCCCTGCCTTCCAGTTGGCCAATCCGATATTCCTCGTTCAAGTACAGTTAAAATATACTGCCCAAAATGTGAAGACATATATTACCCTCGATCAAAGTACCAAGGCAGTAAGTGCCCTTTGTTATTATTCGACAATTGTTCTTTTGCCTCTTCTCTCTAGCACTTGTGCTTTCTGTGTATCTTTGATGTAATTGGTTAGCTGGTTTTCAATGACGTATGCACAGACCTTGATGGAGCATACTTTGGGACAACGTTTCCTCACTTATTTCTGATGACATATGGACACTTGAAGCCACAGAAGGCAGCGCAGAGTTATGTGCAAAGAGTTTTTGGGTTCAAGATCCACAAGTCCTCCTGAGTTCAGGACGAGGGTGGTTCACTTGAGGTTTGTTCTCATTCAGCTGTTGGAGTGGCCGAGATTGATTCTCCCAGCAGGCTCCTCTGCCGAACAGGTTAGTAACTAACCGGCGCAGAGGGAGTGGGAACTGAGAATGGGTCGTCCAATCAAAATCGGAGGCTGTAGTGTTATTTGTGAAATTCAACGTATTAGCATTTGTTATATATTGTTATTCGAATATCGAACCCTTTGTTTTTTGCTGAAAATGAATCTTATTACCTTGTTTCTGTTTCTGGCTTTGTGGGTTTATTTCATGTTAAAGCTGAGAATTGTATCTAAAGCGATTTTGGCAAAATTGGACTGGATATCGGCCCATAAGAGATTTAGGGTTTAGCATTTGTGATAAAATATTGTCGCTAAATCATATTTCTGAAAGTAAATACTAATTCGAAATCTGCCAATGGTAAATACAATATAATAGTCAAATATTTTGTTTCATACAAAATAATGGACATATCTTTTCAAAAATAATTTAATAGCCAAACCATCAACTTTCTGTCTGGTTGATTGTTAGTTGACTATGATGTGGCGAAATTTAAAGTGAGCTGGATGACTTTTGCTGATGTGACAAGAAGTCAATCATGCTAAATGGATTACTATTCTTTTTAAAATTTAATTTTTTATTTTTAAAATTAGAAAAACACAATAAAAAATAAAGATGAAGCTTATTTGTTCAACTCTCTCTGTTCTAGTCCGTCTATTCAACTTCCTCTCTCTATTCGAATCCTCTCTGGCGGTAAGGGCACTCTTCATCATCGTTAGCCACTCGACTTTCTAAAATCCAAGGGGTCTTTTGCTTGTTGGATTTGAAAAATGAGGGTTTTGGCCAATAAAAACATTGGGATTTATGTTGGATTTATTGGATTATGGATTTGAAGAGTCTAATGTTTGCACGATAGATTTGATGATAGATTTGTGATAGATTTGTTAAATAAATAACTAACCATCAAAGATTTGCAAATCCCAAATCAATATGTGGGATTTACAAGTCCGTGGGGTCCACGGATTTGATTCCAAAATAAAGACCAAATCCGTGGACCCCACGGATTTAGCACACTTCAACAAACAATGGACTTATGTTAAATCCATCAAACTTGGGATTTGGGTACCAAATCCATGACCCAAATCCAACAAGCAAACCACACCCAAATATTTGCCTCTCTCAAATGGGGATTTGATTCCTCCAGATCAACTACGGAGGAAGCTTGGGATTTTTCCAATAATAGCACGTTTAAAAAAAAATTACAAAACTAGCACTCAGACGAAAAAAATTGACATAAATAGCACTCTTTTTAATGGAACGCACCCTTAAGGTGCGTTTTATAAGTAAACCGCACCCTACAGGTCTATTATTCTGCATGGCATGTCGGAAATTAATTGACCAAAACCGCACCTTGGGGATGCGGTTTCGTTTTGGAGAAACAAACCGCATCTCCAAAGTGCGGTTTTGCTATTGGCCACGCGGATTCTGTAGGTCAGACCTGAAACCGCTTGGCCAAGATGCGGTTTTGGTCCAGAATTATAAAACGCACCTCTAAGGTGCGGTCCATAAAAAAAAGTGCTATTAGTGTAATTTTTTTGGGCTGGGTGCTATTTTGGTAAATTTTTTTTTAAAGGTGCTATTTCTGGAAAAATCCCAGGAAGCTTAAGGACTTATAAAAGACACTACACCAACTTTCAAAATTGAGGTCTATAGTCGCACCCGCAACCCAAATTAGGGATTTGATCCTCCAATTCTACTATAGGGGACTAGGGATGACAACTTTGCCCATACCCATGGATTTCTTACTATCCAATCCAATTGGATTGGGTATGAAATCCAAATAGATGGATATGGGTAGTGTTTGATGGATTTGTACCCATACCCATTTACTTTGGGTTGAGTTGGGTTTATATCTAATGAATTTGGGTTTGTACCTATGCCCAAATATAAATTACAGTTTGGTACCCAAACTTAATAGATATGCATATTTAGTACCTAAATTTAATTTTTTTGCATATAAGTTCTCAAACTATCGATGGAAAATTACGTCTTGGTACCTAAATTTTTTTGGTCTTACATTTTGGTACCTAAACTTTTCAAGTTTTACAAATAGGTCCAATTTTTGCATGTGTAGTTAAAACACCCTCAAGTAATTTTTTTTTTTTTTTTGCATAAGAGGAGGCAAAAACGCCAAGAAGAGAAAGTTACAAAGGCGGATGAGATGGGGAAGACAAGTTGGCAGGGGGAACAATCTGCCTTTGACACCCTCAAGTAAATGGATATCCATATTCAACCCATACCCATTTAGATTATGGAAGCAGTATTCATACCTTACCCAAACCCATCTATAAACCCCCAAATCCATATGCACTTCACTCATACCCAACCCATTATCAATGGGTCTACTTAGATTTGGGTATAATTACCCATGGGTGAGTAATTTGCCATCCCTAGAGGGGACGCATCATCGGAAATTACCAGCACATCTTCACTTTTGAGATTCAATCTCTTCAGGGACAAAATTGGGAATATGATTCTCCAGTTTATAACATCTACCAAAACAGAGCTCTGAATCTTATTAATCTCTTATGACCGCAGTAGACCAGTAGTACGCGGCTGCAGCGGCGGTTTCCTGAATGGGACGGGGAAGGGAAAAAGTTTTTCTTGTAGTTGAAGTCTTGAAGATGGTGTCGTCGTTGTGGCGGGTCAAGACTGAGAGGGCTAGATCGGGGAAGGATGTTGAACCAATTGTCAGATTTGATGGACTCGTCGTTAACAGAGTAGTGGGAGTGAGGCGGGAAGATCTGGTCGGCTCTTGCCTGTTCAGCGGCAATCCGAGAGGATTCCCCGGAGGGAAGGAGTTTGGTCTTTGCTCGCCGCGGATTTGATGGGCTAGAATTGATTATCCTTGGAATTACAACAATTGCATGAGGAGATGTCGAGAAGAGGAATCGCCCAGAGCAGAAGGAACAGGGCATGGCTTTTGTAGTGTTTTGACGGACGACTAGGGGTGTCAGTTTGGGTCGTGTTCGGTTACCCAAATCGAAACCCAAAAAACCCAAAAACTCGAAACCGAATTCACTAAAACCGAACCCGAACCCGATAAGGACCTGCGGGTTCCGGTTACCCGAAACCCGAAAATTCATTATCGGGTTCGGCTAAAGCAAAACCAAAACCCAAAAATACGAACGCCTAAAAATACAGGCTGAGTTCTATTCATTGGAGGTTTTTAGCCGGAACCCAAAAAATCGATAAGCAAAACCGAACCCGAAACCGAAAAACCCGAAACCCAAAACGAACCCGAACCCAAAAAATCGAAAATGTATATGGTCGGGTCGGTTTCAGGTAAACCCGAAAAACCGAACCCGAATGGACACCCCTATGGACGACTGGGGGAAGGGCTTGATCGACGAATGGGGAAACGGTCGGACGGGTTGTGAAGTTACTCGACATCGGCGCCAAACGACTGGGAAAAGTGCTTGATTGACGAAAAGGGCGTTGAGAGGCGGAGAAGAAGGATTGATTGAGAAATTTCTCGATTTTATTTATTCTATTATTGTCTAATTTTTATTTATTTATTTTTATGAAAACAAAATTTATTTTATAAATTATGTAATATCTATGTGACATGGTCAAATGTTTGACTTCTTGCTAAATCAGCAAAAATCCACCAGCTCACTTAAAATTCTGCCACGTCATAGTCAACTAACAATCAACCGGATGAAAAATTGACGATTTGACTATTAAATTATTTAAAAAAAACGTTTGGCTATTATTTTGTTTAAATACAAAAGGTTTGACTATGATATTGTATTTACCAAAAGAAATATTATTGCATTATGAAATTCTTGACTCCTTAGGGCATTCAAGATGGATTCCGTCTTCCACAAGGTCTAAAAAGTTTATTGAGAAGAGATTTCCTGATTGGGAGTATCGAGTTTGTAAATAATGAAGACGGGTTGGGGAAATTTTGGCTAATGTGGAGGAAGGATGTGGAGCTTTCTGTCTTGCACCAGTGATACCAACTCATGCAGGCATTGATGGTGCAACGTTTTTTTTTTCTAGTAGTGGTTTATGTCTTTATGGTTCAAATGTAGATGGGTTAAATACAAAAGTGGCCATTAAACTCAACTATATAATGCAACTTAAGCACTGAACTAACTTTTGATGCGACTAAAGCACTAAACTAATCTAAATAATATAAAGTTAGCTTTTCCATCCATCACGTTATGACGTTGTTAATTCCTTCCGTCAAATTGCTGATGTGACTTTCATTTAACTTAGAAAATGCCAGCTGTGTGTGCCACGTAGGATAAAGAGCCGAGTCAGCATTGAGGTAGTCAAAATCCACATGAGAATGGTGGCACCCACATCGGCACACCCCATTCAATTAAATCATAACAACAAAGCGGCGACGGGGGGAATTAGGAATTAGGTTAAAAGGTTTAAACGTTGCAGCCCTTGCAATCAATCTTCTACCCTCTGACCTTGAACTGATTATTTGCAGCGAGCAGGGGCCATGGAAGACCAAAAGACGCCGAGAGCTTAACTTGCCGGTCTCATACCTTGCTCCAGTAGGGAGCTAGCTTTGAACGCAACATTCCTCATGCCGCCAGATAGACCGATCTTGAGAAGAGAGCTTCAAAACCAGATTATGTTGAGTCCGCGCTTGAGCTTTATATCATAATCAAAAGGGATGCATACCGGCTTTCTTTTTTTGATCTTCGGGTGAAAAATGCAGAGTCGTATGCCCGTATCTTTGTCGCTCTCTATATATATATTGAAAGCAAGTTGCTGATGAAATATAAACAATATTTTACCATTCCATGAAAGGTGTCGTGGAAAGTGATTTTGCAGGGTGCAGAGTACAACTCTCAATCCCTTTTTGGCCATTTTCTTTTATGAAATATATTTGTCCTGCTCTTTGTTTATTATGTGGACCATGTTGCTTCGTATAAATTCACTTTTGCTAAAAGACAAGAATTTGAGGTGCCTTTTATAAGGAAACTCAAAGTTTTGTCATTCACTTGTCTCGATTGTTTATTTAGGTTCCAATGAAGAATATTTTACTCTTGCGGTACATCATGGTGGTGAAATGCATTATGATGGAGAAAATCTCTTGTATAGATCTGGAGGGACAAAGTATTGGGATTGGGTAGATACAGATAAGATGTCGATGCTTGATTTGGATGATATGTTGGCTGAGATGGGGCACCCTCTTCATGGTTTGGGTTGGTATTGGAGGGTTACAAGGGATCCCTTACGGTTACCCAACTTGAAGGTTTTAAAACATGACAATCATTTATTGGAGATGGGACAGCTAATCAACAAGAAGAGTAGGGTGGTGGATGCTTACTTGTTAGACCACAATTATGTGGAGCAGTTAAGTGAAAGAGTTGGAGGAGGACAACCAGAATATGAAACAAGTCAAATGGCTAAAAGTGTACAAAGTGAAGGTCAAAGAAGCCGAGTTAGAAGAGACAGAGTTAAAGATTTTGAGGAAGAAGGTGGTGACTCCTTAGAAGATACAGATTCTGATGATGCATCATTTATAGACAGTGAGAATGATTTAGATGATAAGGAAGATGACTTGGTCTTTGATCAATATATAGAGGATGAATTTAGGGCAGGTCGTCTAGGGGGACATTCAGAAATTAATGATGAGGATTCGGACAGCGAGTATATGGATCCAGATAATTTACATCATTTGGTAGAAGAGGGGGAAGAAGATGAAGTTCAATACCCTCAGTTCAATGTAGAAGCAAATATGAAGACCCTATATTCTTCATATCACAGACATTCGAGTCATTTTTGGAGTTTAAGGAGGCTGTTCGACATTATGCTATCAAGAATAAAAGGGATATAAGATTTTCAAGGAGTGACAAAACAAGGGTTGAAGCTGTTTGCCATAAGGGATGTCCTTGGAAGATATGGGTCTCATATATGTCTGATCAAAAGACTCCTCAAATAAAAACTTGTCGCATGGATCATGCTGATCATTGTCCAAGGGTCTTTAAAAATCGATTTTGCACGGCTTTATGGATAGCAAAGAAATATCTAACTCGTTTTAGAGTTGATCCAACTTGGTCTGTCCCTTTGTTGATTCAAACGGTCCTAGAAGATCTTGGTGTCAACATAAGTCAATTTAAAGCACAAAGATGTAGGCGTACAGCTTGGTTACTTCTTGGTGGAGAAGAAGAGGAACAATTTCAGAACTTGTACATGTATCAAGCTGAGATTTTAAGAACTAAACCTGGATCTACAGTCATAATAGAGCAATCGGGTGGCATTTTTGCAAGGATATATGTGTGTTTTGAAGCATGCAAAGTGGGTTTCAAGGCTGGTTGTAGGAGATTTATAGGCATTGATGGGTGTTTTTTGAAAACTAGTTTGAAATGGCAACTTCTAGCAGCCGTGGGCATTGATGCAAACGATTGCATGTTTCCGATTGCTTTCGCGATGGTGGAAAAGGAAAACTCATTCAATTGGAAATGGTTCATTCGTTTATTGATTGGTGATTTAGATATCGATGATAAGTACCCAACTTGGTGTTTCATGTACGACCGACAAATGGTAAAACTTTGTATTTGATTAATGCTGAGTTTATGTAGTTAAAACAGGTCAAAGATATAACATTAATGAATGTCAATTTTATATTATAGTTTATTGATGTATGTTGATTTGTAGTGTTTAATCCAGGCATTAGATTCAGAATTGCCTCAAGTGGAGCATAGATTTTGTGTACGTCATATGTACACAAACTTTAGAAAGGACTTAATCATGAAGTCGATGTTGTGGAAGGCAGCAAAGTCAACATATGAGCAAGAGTTTGGTAGATGGATGGCTGCCCTCTTGGAGCAAAGTGAGAAAGCATATGCTTGGTTGTTGAAGAGGCCATTCTATCAGTGGTCAAGGAGTTACTTCAACGTGCATTGCAAGACAGACTTGCTACTAAATAATATTTGTGAGTCTTTCAACCATTCTATCCTTCCTGCTCGGGATCAACCTATCATCTCAATGTGGGAGACAATTAGATGTAACTTGGTAAGGAGAATGTTGTCAAAACAACTTGCTGCCCAAAAATGGTTTGATAGATTATGCCCTAAGATCTCAATAAAACTAGATAAGGTAAAGGATGCAGCCGTACATTGCATAGCTCAGAATGTTGCCGAGGATAAATTTGAAGTGAAATGTCCTACTGGTCAATTTGTTGTGAACTTGAAGGATAGAACATGTGCATGTAGAAAATGGGATCTTTGTGGTGTACCATGTATGCATGCCATAAGTGCTATTTGGCTCCACAACAAGAATCCTGCAAATTATGTTGATGATTGCTATACAGTGAAAACATATAAAAAAATATATGGGAAGTTGTTTGAGCCAATTAATGGAGAAGAATTGTGGCCTGCAACTCAAAGACATCCACTTGAAGCCCCTCCAATTCCAGCTGCAATGAAGATGAAACCAAGAAGAAGAGAAAAACTAAGAAGGAAAGAGCCCGAAGAAATTGAAAATAGAGGAAAACAAGGATATGACAGGGTACGTAAGAAGGGTGTGAAAATAGAGGAAAACAAGGATATCACAGAAAGAATTTCCATGCTTCTGATAATGCCAAAAGGAATTCTTCAATTCAAAATGTTGCCGGTGGAACAAATGCTACAGCTCCTCAACAAGTATAATTCTCTCCCAGAGTATATTACCAAAGCTTAAGGTTAGTTCAATATCATTCTCTTTTCAGATAATGTATTTCCAACAAAGTAATTTGGATCAGTATTAGTTTTTTCTTTGTCAAAGTGAGTTTGTGCTACTGTGTTGACATAATCATGTTATTATATATTTAGACAAAGAGGCAAGGTTCGAGGCAAGGAGATTCAATGGAAAGAGTGTCCCAATCATCATCAACCACAACTTTGCTTTAGAATACTGGTGTAAGAGCATAGCTTAAATTATGCAGTATACTCGAGGAACATGTTGCTGGAAGCCTGGAAGTTCATGGAGGAAAGGGAGCCTTTTGCAATAATTCATATGAAGCTGCAGACTAATAGTAGACAAATTCATGGATGGAACCCTTTTGGAATGACTTTATGTTAATTATATTGGCATAGACATATGGCTTGGATGGAATTTTTGTAGCTTTCGGTGGCTAGTAAATGGTTAAATCACTTTGTCTCCTTCCCCTTGTTCTTTGTCGGCAAAATCAGTTTGAATTTTTTTGTTTGTTTGTTATTGGTATCTTCTTTTGCTGAGTGATTTATATTGTTTTGATAATATTTAATACATTCAGTATTCACTTTATAAAAAGAAGATTGTTGCGAATGTGAAATGCAGCTGGGCTTTCGCATAAGTCAATACTGATGGCGGGGAAATAATTTTTAATATGGATTTTGACTACCTCAATGCTGACTCGGCTCTTTATCCTACGTGGCACACACAGCTGCCATTTTCTGAGTTAAATGAAAGCCATGTCAGCAATTTGACGGAAGGAATTAACGGCGTCATAACCTGATGGATGGAAAAGCTAACCTTATATTATTTAGATTAGTTCAGTGCTTTAGTCGCATCAAAAGTTAGTTCAGTGCTTAAGTTGCATTATATAGTTGAGTTTAATGGCCACTTTTGTATTTAACCCAAATGTAGATAGTATTAGATTGAAATGTTTGATGATCAACGCTAGTACTTTGCCTTGGGTGATTGTTGGTGAATGGTAACTTCATTGTTATTACCAATCAAGGCGATGCTTCAAATAACCTTGAGTTCCATTCCGGTGTGGGTGATTTTAAACAATGGCTAATAGAAATTAAAGTTGAGGATCACGAATTAGAATTACCATGTCACCTAGATTAATAAACATGCATGATGAGTGCTGGACGTGGTTAGTAGTTGGGCTTGGGGGGTTTAATTGTTAATGTTTGTTTAGTTACGTATTATGGGCATGGGCTTTAGGGGGTTATTGCTGCTGTGTTCGGCTGCGAACTCATTACGTGGGAACTATTCACGCAGGAATTGTGGGCTCGATTTGGGCCAACGGAAGGCGAGATCTACGACGAGGCCTTGTCGCGCATCCATCAGACCGGGTCGTTGCGCGAGTATCAACGGGAGTTTGAGAAACTAGCCAATCGCTGCGTGGGGTGGACGCAGCAGGCACTGGTGGGTACCTATCTCGGCGGGTTGAAGCCGGAAATTGCAGACGAGATCAGGATGTTTCGGACACACACTTTGCGTGATGCCATCAGCCTCGCTAGGATGAAGAATGATCAGCTGCAGCGGGCTAAACCGGCAAGTCGAACTGGGGCGCCATCAAGGGATTCAGGTGTGTCGAATTATGGTGGCGGTGGAAACGGACCGAGAACTGCAAGCTCGGGGCCAGTGATAGGAGGGGGACCTGCTCGTGGACTGACTGGAGGGAAGCGGCTGAGCTGGGAAGAGCAGCAATTGCGCGGAGCCCAGGGACTCTGCTTCAACTGCGACGAATGCTTCACCATTGGGCACAAGTGCAACGGGGCAAAGGTTATGTGCTTGTTCGAGGAAGAGGAATTGGAGCACCAACCTTGGGGACAAGGTTGAAATTAAGGGGGGTGGAATGATGAGTGCATGACGTGGTTAGTAGTTGGGCTTGGGGGGTTTAATTGTTAATGTTTGTTTAGTTACGTATTATGGGCATGGGCTTTAGGTGGTTATTGCTGCCGTGTTCGGCTGGGACAAGGAGAAGGGAGTTGGGTCGGCTAGGCTAGGAAACTAGTAGGGTTTGCGTACTATATAAATGTAAGTTCTACATTAGTCCATTTTATCGAATAATAAACCTAAAAACAGTCTTTCGACACTTTACATCGTTCTCTCGCTTGTGAGTTATAAGCAAACTCCCTAACCGAGAGTTTCGGTTCATCAATGCATTTATTGTTAGGAGGTTGGATCGAGCATTTGTCAATATGGGTTGGTTGGAACACCTTTCTAGAAATGAAGTGAGGTTATTAGAACAAGGCGTGTCCGATCATTGTGATGTCATGATAAGTACATATAAGAATTTGAAGAGTTTGTCAAAACTATTCAAATTCTTTAAATTATGAATGCATCACCCATATTTTTCATCGTAGGATTGGACAATAAAAGTGATTGGCTCACCCCTGATCACTACATGTAAAATGTTAAGAGAGCTGAAGATGTTGCTGAGAACACTAAATGCGGAAGTGCAAATTTAAGAGGATAAGCGAGAGCCAAAGAATTGAAAGTGGTTGAAGCTTAAGAGCAGGCGCTTAATGACCCATCCCATTCAACTTTTGAGGTGTAAGGTACCGCTAGTAAGGAGCTGTATGAGCTTCGCAACGCAGATGAATAATTTATGTGTCATAAAATCTAAAGAGCTGTGGCTTAATTGTGGGGATTCTTACACTAGTTACTTTCATGGAAGTGTCGAGTATTATCCGAGTAAGCTAAAAAAGAAGTTGTTGGCAGAGTAGGTTACCGAAATCGATCTAGGATTTCAAAATGGGGTTTTTTAAAGAACTGTGAAAGAAAAGACAGAGAGGATGGAGGAAACAGAAGGAAGACAAAGTGAATGATCTTTTGGATCAGCTGATGCAAGCCTTCTGTCTTTTGTTTACCACCAAGTGGGCCAAGATTAAAATGAGCCAAATTGATTAATAGCAACCATGAAAGAGAAAAGGCCTAATGATTTTATGAAACATAAACAAATAAAAACAAGCCTGCTAGCAAAATGGCCTAGGTTAATGATTCACACCAAAGCTGAGTTGAGAACCTCTATTCGTTCTTCAAGCTTCAGGAGCATAACAGAGTAAGGAGCAGAGGAAGAAGATGGAGTGCAGGGAAAATGAAAGAACACATAAATTTTTAACGTGGTTCACTTACTAATGCTACTCCAGGTCCCGAGGATAGCACTGCTAATCCGGGAGACACTTTTATTGGATTGTCTTCCTATCAAGTATCAACGAAAAGGATTTAAACTATAATACAGAGAAAGCAAGACTTAAACCCGGATCCCAACACGACCCGTTACACCTTCAACAATCCAGATCCTCCACTGATTATTGAGCCCTTATGTAAACCGAAGACCTATACCTCTTGCCACTACAAAAGTTGCATTCTCAATACACAGTTGAGGGCCATATATAGAGATTGGTTGAGACAGAAACGTTGCACCGCTAAAGGAAAGGATCGTTTTTGATGGCATGGATTGGTGGGGCTTTCCTTTTTTGCTCCTTGAAATTAGCAACAGGTCTTCTTTAGTTTGAATCTGTAATTCTAATCCAACAGTTACTAGCCTTGTCGATCTTGTAACAGAAGAAGAGGTCAAAGTTGTTACGTTTGGTTAAAAGCTTATAAGAGTTCAGGTCCAGATGGATTCCCAATATCTTTCTTTCAAGATAGATAGAATATTGTTTTACAGATATTCTCAAGTTATTCTCCATTGTTTTCAGTCTCATTTGCTACCAAGAGAGGTAAATGCCACCATCCTTACACTTGTGCCTAAGGTTCCTAACCGTGAAGAGAGAGAGAGAGAATGGGCAAAATACCCACCATACCACTAAAGTATAAGAATTGGGGCAAGGGTACCACTAAAGTAAAATAAGCAATTGAGTACCATTAAAGTCTATCAAATGTGCATATTATTGACTAACAAATTGATCCATTGACTAACGGATAGAATATAATATTATTATTTTGACAACTCAACATTAATTAAAGATAAAAGAGATGCATAGTCACTTTTTATTGGACACACTCCCTCCCCTATTTCTTGAACTAAACGCATACCACACAAACAAACGGAAAAAAATCCCCAACCCTTGCCATGTAAAAATCTCGGTCCAATCTCAATCGCCAGTTTTGGGTTTCCAAATCTTGGCTACCTAAATGAATAATATGCGGCTGGAGGCGAATGCAGCGTGACTCATCCTGAATATCACAATAAAAATCCTGATTAACAGGACGTGAGCTACATTCTTTAGCTCCTTGATGATGATGCTGGTAGAGGAGGTGGCCACTGTCATTTGGTCCTGGGTTGCGACAGGAAATGTGGGATATCCCGGTGGTTTCGCGATGGCAGGAAGCATATGAGTAAGCTCCTGGATCTGGGCAACAGCTGGTGGTTGCAGCAGAGCTTAGGGCAGCAACATCGATGACTATGGGTGATGACGCCTCGGCAGTCGCCATGGCTCAATTCTCTAGTTGAGAGTTATGAAATTTGTGGCTCCCGCAGGTGGTGCTCTACGCAAAGCTCCATCGAGCTTAGATCACAACACGCGAGCCAATTTCTATGTTGAGAGTTGTGACAAAATCATATTCGCAACCGGGGCTTTGATAAAAATTGATGGAAAGTATCTAGAGAGTCTTTGGGCCAGGTTTGTTAATAAGGATTCAGAAAAAAAAATAGTAAGTCAGGGATAAAATAAATTAAAGAGTGTGAAAGGGATTTGAGTAGTGATGGCAATGGGGCGGAGCGGGGTATGTATCTTAATTCGTATACCCGCCCAATAGCAAGCATGGTCGGGACAGATAGTCGACCCGCTCTTACATGTTATTTGAAAAAATACACGCAAAATTTTACTTCTTATGGTAAAACGAAGGGAAAGACTTTATGAATGAAAAATAGTAATAATAGGATGTGTAATTGAGTCTAATTAATTGAAAGATCAAGTCTAACTAGTTGAAGAAAAGTCAAAACATGAAAAATATGAATTTGAGATATAATTTGCCAACAATCGAGGCCTCTGAAGAGGAGAGAGAATTGAGATTGATACGGAGTGAAGATGATAGATTAGGGGTGGGATAGTTTATGTAAGACTGTTCTTGCTTGCTCTTGAATAAAAACCCAAATTACATATTTTTAGAGAAAATACTGGAAAAACCCTAATGATAATCTTAATATGACACAAATGCTACAAATCCGTATAATAAAAGTATTGACAATGGACACCCGGTTTCTCTAAGAGATCGAGTTTCCATCAGAGACCTACACGTGTTTCCCTCTTCTCACCAAAACAATAAACGATAGAAATATATTAGGAAAATACCTTACCTTTTGTAGTCAGTTCCCATTTCACTAGCCCTATAGGCTATATAGCTTTGCAATCTCTTTCTCCCACCGACGCTCTCAAGGGTAAAGGAAAGTTTGATGTTAATGGCGGAGAGGGCTTGTAAGGAAAGTTTGATATTGCTTGGCGGCACTAAAGACACACGGCACACAAGTTTTTCACGTGTCCTCATGTGTGACTAGTAGAAATGCTCTTGAAGACATACCAAAGTCTTAGACACACCAAAATGAGCCATTAAACTTCCACCATGAGCTTCTCTAACCAACAAATCTATAATAGAAGCGTTAGGTGAGCAAAGTTGGTTAGCACGAAACCAATAACCATCATCTCAATAGAACTTTTATTCATCATGTTTCTCAAATCAATCAACACACTATTTTTTGAAAATTATATTTTGATACCCAAATTGATTTTTTTACAATTTAATACCTACACTTTATTTTATACAAATAGGTCAAGAAATTATGGTGGTAAAATTACGTTTTAGTACATTTATATTGTTATCTTGCATTATAGTATCTAAATTTTAAAATTTTACAAACAGCTCTAATGTGTTGATATGAGGAATTTTATACCATTAATTATGGGTCATAGGACAAAAAGTGACCCAACCCTACCCGACTCGACAGGGTAAAAAGAGGACTCGACGCTAAGCCGGCCCAACCTGGCCCTCAAGACCGGGTCGTGTCAGTAGGTGTCCAGGGCCAAGCTTACAGCCTAAGTGAATAGTGTTAAATTCGCTCCAGGCGATAAACATCAATCATATCTATTTTAGATGAATGATTTTTTAGGGCTAATACCACTAGGAAACCCAAACTATCAAGATTGTGCCATTTGTGTCCTAAACTATCCAATATGACATTTGTGTCCTAAACTATTTTTCCGTTAGAGTTTACCAGCGTTGACCGTTAGTTTTTAACAGAAAGTCTAGTCAGTGCTGATGTGGCATCTGACGTGGAATTTATAATTATTTTCCATATAAAAGAATAAACTATGAAAAATTACAAAAATAAAACAGATCTGTAAACTCCCCTGTTCTCCTTCCCTCCGCTGAACAGATCCAATCAGGTTCTTTCTCAACCACTTATCCTAGAACACTGCAACATCTCCGAGCTTCATCTCGTGGTCAGCCATCAGCTCGTCTACTATCGAAGAAGGCAGACGAGTCAGCTTAATCAAACCAGATGGGCGGAGGAGTCTTCGATTCCTTCCAATTATTTGGTGGAGGACGGGAAAGAACTCTTGTCGGGGAAATAAAGTTGATGCTTCCTTGTATGGATTGTAACCATCACAGTCCAGTGTTCGTCGCACCACAAAGTCCCCACGCGTCGTAGCTGAACAGGCTGACATTTTTCACAACGGATCCACCGGTTGTCGACTCCGTGTGGGTGTCGTGCCCTTCCGTATATTTCGGAAATTTTGATTCCACCGTCTCGTCGATCGGCCTTCCCCTGTAGCTCTCATATCCTGGGGCAAGCGAGGAGGGATTGGATTATAGGTTTGGTCTGATTTCAATTTCTTATTACCTAATCAATCTCAATTTGAAATGGGCTTCGTAGAGCAGAGAAGGGTTTGACAGAGTCGAGAATGGAGGTGGGACTGATGACTTGGTCGGATTCGGAGGAGAGGGAAGCTAGCCAATTTTCCGGTCTCGCAGACGCCGCAACGCTTGGCAGGGACTTAGTCGGCGACTCCGTCTCTTTGGGGAAGACAGATGGGAGATGGAAGCTCGTCAATTTGGTTTTTTTTTTTGTTTTAAAATTTTGGATGATTAGATACGGGTGAGTTTTTCAATTTTAGTATTTATTTAATTTGAATTAAAAATATGATGTGTCAATGACATGGCATTTACATGGCTGCCACGTGTTTGCCACGTAAGCAAAAGTCAACATCAAGTTGACCACCGTTAGGTCAACCGTTATATATAATGGTCAACAAAATCGTCAGGACATAAATGACACACAATTATTATAAGTTGGGACACATATGTCATATTGGATAGTTTAGGACACAAATGACACAATATTGATCGTTCGGGTTTCCTAGTGGTATTAGCCCTATTTTTTAATACACGAGTAAGGAGAGCAGATCATCCATAGGGATGACAATTTGGACCCCCGCCGGGTATTACCCGACCTGACCCGCCATGGGGCGGATATTACCCAACCCGTAGTAGCATGGGTATGTACTTTCGACCCGCCCCATTATTGACCCATTCTATTGCAATTTTTTGGGTCAATCTACAAGTTTGAATTGCTTGATCGTGAAGCAACATTCATCACTAACAAGAACCTTGAATTTTGCCTAAGTGTTTCGCGGGTTTCAGGTGCTCTACGTTGTACGTGTGCAAATTTTTATTGGCTCAATGAAAATGGGCTAATAGAGACTTGTTTGGACTCTAGGAAGTTGCTCTACAAGAGTGAATGGTTGGGAGCTCAAGAGGAAGCTGGGAGATACGTGTTTGAAGCTTTTCAAAACCCATTGTCAAAACCGGAAATCTGCCAAAGATGGGCTAAGGCACGGAGCGTGTACAACAAGGTGTCTTTGAAGCTTTATTCGAAGCTCTTCGGCGAAGGTTGAGGCTGGAGACTTACACCAAATGAAAGTACAACTCATCTAATCAACGACGTGGCATTGGTTAGCAGAATTGAAGACTGAAAGGCTTCGTACGAAACCCAACAAGATCGAAGGAAGCCTGATTGAAGCTGTCTTGCTACGCTGCCAGTCCGAATCCTTATCAGATTAGGATTGCTAGATTGTTTTGCACTTTGAGTCTTTTTCCGAGTTTATTTTGGTTATTTTCGAGTTGAATTATGTTAAGGACTTCCTTTGGAGTTGCTATGTTTAGTTTGTGTCTATTTAAGTCATTTAACTCATTGTAATCGTCAGTTTTTTATTGGAATACAAAGTGTGGTATTGTAAGAAATTGTTTAGTAAGTAAAATATTTTGAGGCAAAACCCGAGAACCAACTAAGGAGCTGTCAAAAAATAACCAAAAATGCAATAAAAAACCGAAACGAGACACACTTGGCAGAACCCGGAAATGACTGAGAATCTTCTATATAATGGAACCGCAACGACGACAGATAAGACTCATAACCCTAGTTCTCACTGCTGGAGAGAGCTACCAGCCGCCACCGCTCGCCCAATTTATACAGTAGACTCACCGCTGCTCCTTCCCATTCTGCTAAACCCTAGCGCCTAGCGGCCCCTTCTCTTGTGTCCCACTCCCCTTCCTCCACCGCCGTTAATCATCTTCTCTTATTGAGTTAGTTCCTTCCACGTTCCATTTCACATGAACACCTTCTATATTATTGATTTTGTCATTGTTAACAGGAACTCATGTTGTTTTTCCCCCTCTGGATGATTAGGCAGCGAGAAAGTGCTGGTGAAATCCGACGGAATCATGTCCGACGACGAGAGGGAGGAGAAAGAGTTGGATCTCACTTCTCCTGAAGTTGTGACCAAATACAAAAACGCTGCCGAGATCGTCAACAGTAATGCCTTCTTCTCCTTGCTGTTTCGGTTTTCTCTATATGCAATCTGTGTAAAATGTGAAAGCAACCCTGTGTAAAATTCATGTGACAAGTGTGGTTGGTTTTGGTCTGGCGTATGTGTAAATGGGGCTTACCAGCTGGCTATGTTTTTTTTGCAAGTTTAATTCATCCGTTCTGTTCTATTCATTTTGTACTAACTGTTTGTATGTTATGTGAATTTCTGCAGAGGCCTTGCAGTTGGTGGTAAAAGATTGTAAACCCAAGGCAAAGATCGTTGACCTATGCGAGAAAGGAGATTCATTTATCAGGGAGTAAGTTCTGTTTGCATATACTTTGATCATACTGGTTAGTTTATGATTGGCTGTTTCTACCTTGTGTTTCTTGTATCAGTTTGATTAATTTCTCTCTCTCTGAATTTTAATTGTAGACAAACGGGTAGCATGTACAAGAATGTGAAGAAGAAGATTGAAAGGGGAGTGGCATTTCCTACTTGTGTTTCCGTAAACAATACTGTTTGCCATTTCTCTCCTCTTGCCAGTGATGAGAGAGTTTTGGAAGAAGGCGATATTGTGAAAATGTAAGCTCTCAGGTCCTCTTAATTTATTAACCTCTGATAGGTAACTACTTGTCCAACCTAATTGTACTCTTGTGGATGAAGTGATATGGGTTGCCACATAGACGGCTTTATTGCTGTGGTTGCGCATACTCATGCTATTCAGGAAGGAGCAATTAAAGGTCGAGCTGCTGATGTACTTGCAGCTGCAAACACTGCAGCTGATGTTGCTTTGAGGCTTGTGAGGCCCGGGAAAAAGGTATATTTCATATCGGAGTATGTATTTATTTCTCATATTGCTTGGTTTCAGCATTCAGTTTGCTCTGCTCTGTCATTTCCAGTTAGCTATTTTTGTTGTCAGATTCATTGATAAGGAATCTAGTGTCTCTGCTTGGCTGATGTTACTACGCAGAGTTTTATTGAAGTGTTAATTCATATTTTTCACCAAAAGGCACTTTGCTTATTATTCTAGAGCCTTTTTGTACCTCTTACTCCATTGGCAATGGTAGTTTTGGTATTGTAAACCATCTCATGTGTGATGAAATCGATTTCATCAGCTTTGGAGCTTTTATCATAGTTAATCTGGTAGGGTCAAATATGAGAAATCTAGCTAGTGAGAATTCACGTATTCAGGGAACTTGTCCTAGTTATAATGCTCTAAGGTGATCAGTCGCTTCTAGTTTCCACCTTTTCTTGTTGCCAATGTTGTGCATAGAAAAACCATGACTGTTGAGTTTTATCATCTCAAGACCTATTCAATTGTAATACTGTCTTATTGTGTTGAATTTTGTCTTTGCCCAGAGATAAGTACCCAGTCTTATGTTACAGATAGGGTTTTTATATCCCAGGCCTTTGGTTTTCAGATATCTTTTCTTGTGGGGTAGTTTTTTTTTAAATATTTTTTTACATTGATCAGTTGCTATTGTTTCCACCTTCTGATGTTGCCCTCGTTGTGTATAGACACGTGATAACTGCTGCATTTGATCGTTTCAAGACCTAATCCATTTTATTGCTGTCTTATTTTGTTGAAATTTTGTGATTGCCTGGAGATAAGTACATAGTCTTATCCTAGTCTTATATGACTGTTTGGGCTCTTATCTCCTAGACATTTTGTTTTCTGATGCCTTTTCTTGTATAGTTATTTTACACTGCCTGTGATTGGCTTGATGATTTCTGAATGATGAAACAATCAATGGATTCTGTGCTGTCCAATGAAGTCCTTATGTCATATAGTTACACTGACGGAGGATCTTCCATTTGTTTTTTTGTTTTGTTTTATCAACTCCCTCTCTTATATTCTTAAATTTGATAATTTGCCCTCATCTTCATTTTGATTCCTTTTGTCCTCATGATGACAACAAATATGAAAAGCTATGGATTAGAGTCCAAATGAGGCTTTTTGTGTCATAGTTACTCTGATGGGACAATTGTATGATAATGATGTTCACTTTTGTAGTGATTGTATTGTTGAGCTGGAAGAGGTATAAGTAATCTTACACAGTTACACAGAAATGAACTACTTCTAATTGTGAGTTGAAGTATATAAGAGCTTGTTATGGATCTCAGTTATTGTAAGAGCTTGTTATGTCTTGTTACCAATTTGTTTGATGTTGGACAACTTCTAGTCATTTCAAGCGTACATTGTCGACTGATTTATGTATGATGTAATTACTTGTTCAGTTTGGCATTCATAGCTGCAGAATGGCAACTTTGCCGAGGTGATTGGTGAAATATATTGATTACCTCCTTTCCCTGTTGCCTATATTATTTTGGCTGGATTTGGTTGCTTGTTTGCCAGTTTGTTTGCTACTTGTGAACATTGACCTACTCTACCCTATATGTAATCTCATTTGTTTGAGCGTAGGCACATCTTGGTGGATTGGATTCTACACTCTTCAGTTTGTTCGTAACTTTGTAGGTTCCTAGTTAGATGAGAGCAACTTTGCTGAGGTGAAATATATTGATCACCCGCTTGGTTGCTTGTTTACCAATTTTTTGCTGTTGGTGTACATTATGTTATCACTAGCCTCCATGTAATTTTTTTTTTGTGTCTAGTTGGAGATTCCTAGTTAGAGAAGGGCGACTTTGCCGAGGTGATTGGTGAAATATATTGATTACCCGCTTTCCCTGTTGCCTATAAGTTTTGGCTGGATTTGGTTAATTGTTTACCAATTTGTTTATTGTTGGTGTACATAAACTTCTCTAGCCTAGATGTAATTTCATTTTTTTAAGTTTAGGCACATCTAGCTGATTGGATTTAGTTACTGAAATTTCTTATTAAGTTGGTAGATTTCTAGTAA